CTTCAACTTCGCAATCGAAGACGTTCTGTCGAATGCTCTAGAAGGTTCTCAACATTTTGGCCTAAAGCTTCTACCGGGTGAGCGTACGACCGACTTAGATTACGCTGATGATATCGCCTTACTTGGAGACGATCCTCAGGGTATGCAACTCATTCTGGATCGTCTGGCGGTTGAAGCATCTAAGTATGACATGAGCTTCACCCCATCGAATTGTAAAGTACTGCTCAAGGATTGGCTTTCACCTGCTGCTGTGCTCACTCTCGAAGGTGCACAACTTGAACAAGTAGATAGTTTCGTCTACCTCGGGAGCTGTGTTTCTGCCGACGGCGCTATCAACAAAGTCGTTTCTCTTCGTATCGCTAAAGCTCGATCAGCAATTGTCAATCTGAGACACTTGTGGTATCGTCGCGACGTCTCATTCTCACTAAAGGGTCGCATTTACAGCGCATCAGTTCACTCAGTATTTTTGCATGGATGGGATTCCTGGCCGATTCGCCTGGAAGACATGCGTCGTCTTTCTGCAATCGCTAACGGTTGCTTAAGGAGGATCGCTTGTGTTTGGTGGAAACACCGAGTTAACAGTAATGACGTTCGACGTCGCATCTTGGGGAATGCAAGTATTTCCTTCAACAAAGTGGTTTTGTTGCGCCAGTTAAGATGGCTTGGTCATGTTCTACGCATGGCACCTGAGCGTCTACCGCGTCGCACTCTATTCGCTCGTCAAAGACATGAATAGAGGCGACTGCGTGGTGGTCAGCCTTCCACTTGGCGGCAGCACATGAAATCGCTGACGTCGTGTCTAGCCGCTGCCTATTTTTTACATTGACGATATAGTACCTCGTTCACATAATTCTTCTCTTCTATATTCTTCCTTATTTCATATTTGGCCACGACTGGGCTGATCTCCTGTGGTGACGGATTACAGCTTCCAGATTATAAAAGACGTTACCTATGCAAGGCAAATTGCCACCAACTGACTGGCGTATAAAAAGTGCCATAATAGAATGATCCGCATGACGGACTGGGCTGAGCCTTCATGGCCCATAATACATGTTCAAAAGCAGCTCTAAAAAGAACAAAACATGTGATATACAGGTGATGGCTCATATGCCACCATGCCACACCGGCACGCGGCCGGATATAGCATGGAAGTGCGGGAGAAACCTTTCGAGGGAATATCTTGCATGGAAGCAGGTCCCCTGGGGATGGTTCCACGAGTGGCCGTATTACTTTAACTGGACATCTGTTTAAATCTGCTTACGTTATAGTTCCTGCTTTTTATGTTCTTTAATGTCTTAATCCTGCCAATTAGTTTAGTACCTGTTTTGCATCCATTGTAAAAAGCGTGAACAAATTGATTATTTTTTTCTGATCCTGTTGTACACATTGATCAGACCACATAGTTGGACTGCACCTCGAATCACCGAGGAATATACCATTTATTAGTTATTTATGAAATGATGGAACCCAAAGATGAGGAGTGCCAAAGGCTTAGAACTCCTGAAGACATGGTTCGCAACCGGAAGCAGTGGAAGAATTGTGTACAGTAGTGTATCGATTCAAAGGTTTAATACTACCAACATTGAAAGAACAAAGAAAGAAAAATATCGGCGTGTGAAAAACAAACTAAAAATGTTTTGTTCTATTTTTGTCAACATTTTTCATTTTTCTTGCGGTATATTAGCTGAGGTGTGTTTCCCACCTTTAACCATCATGCTACGATGATTATAACGCAACGACTGTCTCTTACCTACTGATCTCCAGGGCTTTGTTGCCTCTATGTCTAGTTGCTAGTCTGTTGGGATTACTTACATACGTTAGGTGCATATTTGGTCAAATCGGCGTAGATCTTTAACGCAGTAAGCCATGATAACACCGAAGTCATGAAAGTTCCTGCTACTAATATTACGTACATCTAGATAAGGAGATATTGTTCCTAATTTGCCCAAGAGAACTTCCGAATCAATTTTAGCTTTTTGTGTAAACAGTTTGGAGACGAATTGCCAGCATCCTGTCATGTCACGAAAGCCAAATGCCTTCTGATAGAGGTTCAGCGGTATGGATAGAAGTCGGTTACGACAATACCGGACCTAGTTTACTCTTAACGATTTCAAAGGAAGGATTGGTTCTTTCTTGAGTATCGTCGTTGATCTGGTGGCTTGATTTACCCTCAACGTATTTTACGAGGCAAGAAGGTTTATTAACTAGATTCTTTCATTTTTGACACGGAGCCCCTTTTGGAAGCTATTTAACTCGAGGTGGCTTCAAGTTCGCTCCGATATTACTTTTATAACTCGTGTGCTAAGAGACTGAAAGTATCTACCTAGCCAAGTTATCAGTACATAAAGAGTGTGATGTATCGAGTTAGTACAGTGCAAATATTTGCTGCGCAAACATGAAACTGCGAAACCTGGATCTTACTGTAGCGGAGACAGAAGTTCGTAGGCTGGTACATGGGTAGAACCCATCTAAGGCCTCTGAGTCTGAGTTGGTTCACCCAAAAGTGTCGCATGATTTGGCTGCTGAATTAAGTGGACTGCTCACTAAGGTTTTTGAAACATTGCTTGAAAGCTGTGCATTACCTTCAAAATGGAAGGAAGCTGTCAACTGTCCAATCTTCAAAAATGGGGACAGGATTCTGCCTGCGGATTACAGGCCAGTTAGTCTGAAGAGCGAAGCAATCAGACTCCTCGAGAAACTGGTGAGAGATTCATTGGAGATTCATCTGAGTAGATTCAATCTACTTAGCAATGTACACAGGATTTTTGTGTCTGATGAATCTGCTGGTGGCTCGCGAAAGTTGGGCGGATGCAGTAGAAAACCGCCACACACTGGACGTGCTTTCCGTCGACTTTCGAAGGCTTTTAACAAGATACCCCCTTTGTGGCTCACCTCCTACGGGGTATCTGGCCGCGCCCTTCATTTGGTGTCTGCCTTCATGGATAGTAGAAAAGAGTGCGCACACGTAGGCCGTGGCCTATTTTTAGGCAGTCTGTTCTCAGTGAAGCATCGCGGGTCTCGGTCCTGGGACCGCTGCTGTTCACGATATATGTGGATGACCTACCTGCGGAACTTGAGGTACCATCGCTGCTATTTGCTGAGGACCCGAACCTGTGGAACATTGTTGATGTTTTTAAGGGTTCTAAACCTATTCAGCGAAACTTGAATAAGCTCTGGGATTGGCTTACTTTATGGTTACTGTCCATAAATCAGGCAAAGTGCTCCGTTCTTCGAATTGGAGGAGGTAGTCCTCCTGCGAAGTACTTGGTTGGTGGGATCGAACTTCCCCGTGTATTTAGTCAAGTAGATCTAGGCATCGTAAACTCTTCGGCTTTACATTCCGTCGACAACTGGAAGAAGGCTGCAAGCAGTGGTTTCCGCAGGTCGTGGTTAATACGACGTTCTTCCGGAGTTTTGACGGGCGACATCATTACGAGACAGTTCTCGGCTTTCGTTCGGCCTCATCTGGAATGCTGCGTCTAGGCTTGTCCGCCTTGCCTCGTCCGGGACAAAATGGAGCTAGAGAGAGTTTCACATACGGGTACTAGGGCGGACGTACCCCGAGCGTCTACTTAGTTCAGGATGCAATTAATGCACAACCGAAGGCTTAGAGTAGACCTAATCATAACCTACCGTATCGTAACAGGGGTAGTTGGTTCAGATTTACTCTGGCTATTTAGTTCCGCTAGATTTTCTGTTCTACGCGGTCACTCCTCGAAGCTTTACAAACCGCGGTCCGATCGGATTAGGACGGAAATCCAGCTGTCACGCCAAGTCGTCGAACGCCAAAACATGCTTCCGGAAAGTGTAATCAGGGAATCTACGGTTAAGGAGTTGTAGCAGGAACTTGACGCTCCTGGGTGGCAACAAGAAACCTTTCCATTTTCCTGAATAACTCGCAGCTTCATACTTCCAAGTTCTGTTCTGTAGTTTTTTTCATGCCTGTATTATATTTTTTATTTCAAGTGCACTTTTTTATTCTGTACCTTCGAGTCCTCTTCCTATCCTTTGCTTACTTCACGTGACTGCTACAGCAGGGACTGCTATGGCAGGACACGAGGGCATTAACTTGTTGGTCATGGCGCGATACGGGTATTCCATTTTAGATTGATCAATAATGCTGAGTACCACAGGAAATCCTGGTTCACCGATCCACTCAAGATGGAGCACTCACGAGATTTTCTTATCGTTCCAGTCCCAGCCGAACTTAAACTTGCTATGTTTACTGTGAGTGCCGAACTCTCCTCTTGAATGATGTGCGGAAACTAGTAACGTAATCCATTCACTTAATAAAAAGCGATGGGAAGCGGTGTTGACAAAAAATATCCCTTCTCTTTTATACAACCCGATCAAATGTTGAAACAATGCGAAATGTTTGTAGTACACTACCGTTCTGATAATAATACATATATAACTATCCTATCCAAAGGCTACAATTTAAGTACTACCCGATGTTTCAACAAAAATAATGACAGATTTTATAATATAATGAGACGAATAGCTGTGCTTCAATAATTTACAACAGGTTGACAAAAGTCATACAGTAACACTAAAAACTATTAGGAAAGTTAAAGAAACAATGACATGTAAAAAGTTACAGAGTAATAATAATGAAGCGATACATGTTAACCTACCTATATTGTCTAAAACGAGATCAATAAGCCTATTAACTAAAAAATGGTAAAATACCGAAGCCTTAACACTTGTCGAAAGCTTTCCATTTTTAAGATAAGAACAAAAGAAAGTTTCAGATTCATCATAAAAGCTCAATTTATTAGTTTATAAGAATAAACAAATGGGCAGTTTGTGGTGCGCCAACTGTATTATTTCTTAAACATATGGTTTTTTATCACACGACGTAGACACACTAATACCGCCAATAGGATATAAATCGCAACATTTTCCACAAGCATGTAGTAATTCGTAAACACATCACGTTAACTGTGAATAAAATTGATAATTAAAACTTGTACTAAGCTGAAATGTGTCTACTAACTGACCATTCCTCCGCCGAACCATCTCTTCATTTTACCTCTAAAGGTAACATGAACTGTAAATGACATTTGGTTTATCTAAACAAAACTCGCAAGCTTACCATATGCAAACTACAAAACAAGGGCGCGATAATGCACCAAATGCTGTCAAAAGTGACGTTAATTGTTTCCTTAATTTAATAACTACAATAAAATTGGAAATGACGATTACTCCCACCCGGTTGTGTGACGGCTGCGAATAGCGCACACTGGACGGTTTTTCTAGTATATTTGACAGGACATCGTTCATTACTTTGCTCAGAGCAGATTTTCGCGTTACTTTTTGTCGAATACAGTTTTTTTTGCGATGCTGTATTTGTTCATTGTCTCGTAGTTTCGTTTGCGCACATTTTTCTTAAATAAATAAATAGATAAATATGTTATTCTCAGGTTTATGCACACCAAATCAAGCTTTACAGTCGTCACTGCTTAGCTTTCAGTAATGGACAAGCTGATTTCCTGTGGCACTTGTCGCAAAATAGTTGGGCATTGAGCCTACGCTGCTACATGCTTTATGGGTGGTGTGCTTTTGGTTTGTCTGTACTCTTGCTAATCTACTGAGTGAATTGCAGCATAAAATTGTCCAAATTTTCTGTAGTAGTTGATAAGCCACTCTGCATGGAAAAACAGCAGAAAATTTGCGCAAACCCGAGAGACGTTCAATAGGGTGGAGCTCCGCGGGTACATCTAAGCAATCGGAATCCCAGCTACCTATATGTTCGAGCGAGCCAATCTGCACACCGGCTGCATGCTGTCCAGTGTGATGTACAGCCTTTGCTGTACACTATGCTTGTGTACGAGATAGCACCGGCGTTGGAGGCCTATGAAGGTTGCAGCGAAGAAAAATGAAAGACGACTGCCAGAAATGAGCTGTGTTGTAACCTTACAATATTTCACGCGCCTGCGTTGACGTTTGCTGGTCCTCAAGCTGGTCATGACCACGGCTTGGATTTTGTGCAGACTCTTCTTGCTAGGCTTCTTGATGTGGATGAACAGGGTTAGCCATGAAGCGAATCACCTGCTTGGAAATAACAGGAGGGAAAATTCAGCATCTGTGTGTCACTACTATTGCTGCTACATGTCCGTGGCTGACAATATCCCGCTTTGGCAGGGTAAGAGCTCTGAAGATCTATATTCGTACCCATTTGGCCCCGTCGTACAAAAAGAATCTGAGTTCCACTATCGTGTTGTTGCGATGGTTGACTGATAGTTGGGTAACCAACCTCCACATTGTAAATTTTCGGGTAGTTCCGCGGGTCCGCAGAAACCGAACCAAACGATCGCCGTCGCTTCACTTGAGTCTGCCGGTTCCTACCGCGGCCTGCGCATAGCCTTTACACAGGGTTTAGGTTAACGAATAAACTTAACGATTACGTTTGCTTCGTTGCCTCAAGTCGTCCGTTCGTACCAGGACTGCTGAAACCTTCGTAAATCCTAAGGGCACTACCAGAGAAATCCAGCTCAGTGTCTACTCGTGCTTCCAGTGCCGCAGATTATCACACGGTCGAGGCGGAGTGCTGTTATATATTCGGTCCTCGTAGAACAATGATTCTTATTTGATGCGTTGGAGAGGTCTTGGTGAACATTTCATAATACCTTGGTGAGGATGAAATTAAGGGAGCAAAAATATGAGCCGCACTATTTGTGGTAAAGACCCCAAAGCTTGTCTAACACGTTAGCCCATGCGTGGGGTGTCTTTCGTGCATAGCGGATCCAGGGTATTAGGTCTTGTCGTAGGAGCATGCACATGCTGAGTCCTATCACGTGGAAAACCACTGTCAAGGAAGGCCCTATACCTGGAAGGTGTGGACTGCCGAAGCCATGAAATATTGGGCATATATTAACCTCCGGGAATTATGTTACAACGCGCTGGCACGAATGTTGGTTCACTAACTAGCAGTACCAGATCGGTAGGGCTACAACCGGCGGATTTTGGTGGGTCATACACAACAGATTAGGAGGTCGAGCTGGCCTCCGATGGAATGCTTCCAAACCGAATATTCCGGATTGTCAATGGAAATAGCTTGGAAAGTTGCCGTATGGAAGTCATTGTTGCCGTAACTAAGCTAGCCGCCTGCAAGTTGATTGGCACTTTTATCACAGAAATAGTATGACCTAATATTTTCAGCAGCGCATCGGAGGCGTCAGGTGGGTGCCAAGTTTAGTTACTAAGCAAACCATACGCAATGGCCAACAGAATGATAGGTCTTAGAGGATGCATTTTATGTTGTAGCGACGGTGCGTCGATGAGCAAGTCTTCGTATGCGTCGTTACGTGGCAAAGCTGCGTTTGCGGTCATTGTGCAAGTCAGGGTAGCTGCGATAGCTAGCTCCGATAAGAGGTGTTGGATGAGGGCGATTGTCGGGAGTGTAAAGAACAGGACGTCCATACGTTGAATTTTGGTGGTTTACCTACTGTGAACCAGCAGAAGGCAACCGTGAAGTTGTGACCAGCGTTAATGTACGGTTTGTAGAAGGTGTAATCCTTGTGACATATAGAGTTGCAGAAATTGGTAGTGATGAGGCGGGGCTGTGTCCTGCCTTGCCCCATAAAAAGGTTTGGCTTCATAGGGGTTGAGTTAAACCATCCTGGATAAGCTGTGTATATGGTCCCGTTTGTACGACATACCTGCGTAGGCGATAGCGTGCCAAGTGGATAGCTTGCCATATCAGATGTTGAAGAAAGCACTGCACGAATGCCGCACGACCTGCTCACAGTTCCATTTTGATTCGTGACTGGTGAAAAGTTTTCATTTTGTGGAAACCGCGGTAACTCGCATATTCCTGAGGCTTGATAGCGCTGTTAGGCGCCTCCAGTAGGTACAGCTTTCGCAGCGCTTTGGCAGGTTGGGTCAAAACTGGCGTTGAGAGAGGGGTTTGTGGCTAAAAGGATTTCCACCTTACGAGCTCTATTTGCTTATCAGTTGTTTGCTTATGCCACATGGAAGTTGCATGGGTGCGATTAGCACTGTTACCGTGATGCACCAACGGGCATCTCGTTTTGGCTACTGGCGTTTTATCGAAGTCCTTTTTACAGCGACAGCGGTTCCCTCCTTGTAAATGTGAGAAGGAAGCGAGTTCCGTAGCGGGAAGTCTATAATGATCGACTCTGTATCTGTCAGTTGTACCGGAGGCTTTATGCCATCAAGTTTACGTTGTCTCAGCTCCTGGCATCGTCGTTGGAACGAATCATAAAGGTTGGTTAACTTTGTATCTACCAGGGATGTAGGACTTGAATGAGAATGGAGCGGCATCGTGGACGTTTGACGAAAGCGGGCAAGGTCTAGATCAATATTAGTGCTTGACGTCAAACAATCGGTGACTCCGGGAATCGGATATGAAACTAGTGCCTGTTATCTTCTTTTGTCGTTGGTATCAGGTGGGAAAGCCCTTTGCAACGGCCTTAGATCATGCTTGATAAGCATAGGCCCAATGCTTGCATTTGCTCTTAAGTAAAATCTACTTGTTGTGAAGCGTGTAGCCAGTTCTTGCGTCTTGAAGTGGGAAGAATTGGGCACTTACAACTAACGTACGAGTTTCTAAACCGTTAACTAACGCACGTATCAAAACTGTTGTTACACATGGTCGTCAGTAAATAGGTGACATGTTTCAAAAATTCTGTCGGGAACGTTGAAACTGTTAACTTTTGGGCGCGGCGAGCGCGCTCGTTTATCCCATTGGCGATGGTAGTAAGAAGAGCGCCAGCGGCTTCACGCTAGTCCACTTTGCCACATTTTCCCCCGTCAGCGGGTTGAGCTCTTGCATAAGCATTGCAAGCGCTGCATGTATAACGGACAATAGCGTTTATGAGTAGCTACCTCAGCTGAACGTGCACTGCGTGAGGGAAGCAAATTTTTCAGTGGATCTAAAAGAGCGACACTGTAAGTGCGCATTTTATTCAGATAAATAAATAAATAAATACTTCATTCTCGACCATGCGAGGCACGCCCATGGAGGCATGATCAGATATGCACAACTGTACAAACAGTTTATGGCAACGGTGACAGTAACAGTAGAAAATTGGTCGTACGTCCATGATAAAATAAAAAATGGATAGTTTATTCTCAGTTTCATAGCGACGCACCAACTTAGGCATGATCAAGGTTTAAATACTGTTTTGTATCACGATGATACATCGGGTTCAATGGTGTGTAGTTGAAACGGTATCGGGAAGAGTTGATATGTGAATCTAGTCGACTTGCTAGTATGTAGTTGTGGACTGTGACTTTATTCAGTGGCGAGTCACATCCGCCACGTCGCAGTGTTGTTAAACAGACATTTGTGGGTTTTTATAGGGAGAACGCTTGCCAGGCGAAAACCCACCACCTCCTGCAACACCCGTCGTAAAGCATTTTGAACATTAATGTTGAACTGGCAAAGCCGCTTGACGACTGGTTTCACCTTTGGTTTTTCGCGGAGTAATGGCTTCTAATTTCCTCTGTTAGTTGGACAGGGTATTTTGATCTGGGTCGCCATGATTTTTGAGGTCGGTGGAGGAGAGGGACATCGCGATTTCCCTTCTTGTTGTATGTCCAGGTAAGCAAAAGTTCAACTTTTCCGCTGTCCAGATTTTTTCAGATGTATAATGTATGGGAGTATGAAGAAATGTCCAGTTCTCCATACTAGACAAGGGTTATGGTGATTGTAGGTCGGTCCTTGCGGAGTTTTACCATCCTCCATGTCAGTCCTTGTGGGTTGTTACGTCCATCTTGGGCCAAAACTGTTCCTCAGTCCAATCCCAGATCTCCAAGATGCCCGGACTTCAGAGAAAAGGGAAAGTGAGGGACAACCGAGAGAAGACCGCAAGAACAGGCATGGAGTTGAATATTGTTAATGTCTTGTGTTATAACATTTGGGCTTGAGACAAAAGCATGTACACTGTGCAACAATAATTATGCTGAAAATGTCTTTTGAGTATCCTATAGAATCATTAGCCGTATAGGTGGATTGCTATCGCCTGCGTAGAGACAAGAGCGTTGCACCAGTAAGTGAAATACGAGTATCCGTTTGATATGAGTC